TCTCTCTCTCTCTCTCTCAATCCAGTACTAACCTTTGAAGGTGGCGCCTTGTTGCAGGTACATCGAAGACGAAGCTGGAGCTATGGCGCCACAGGTAAGTCTCCCTTGCCTCCGCCAACCATCTCTCTCTCTCTCCAACGCTACTCTAGCTCCTAATAGCGCCCAGCGCTGAAGACTACTGCTAACGCTACTACTACTACTGCAGCGCTCCTCCAGAGTGCTGCTGCCGAATCTTGAAGACTGCTTCCTGCCTCCTGCACTTGAAGTGCCTGGGAAGTCCCTATGAACTACCTGCAGCCTGCAGGGCGGGCCAGTCTTATATAATGCTGGCCCGTCCAGGAGGCTGCTCTTGCCAATGCCAAAACGTGCCAAACCCTGGCGTTGAAGTTCAAACAAAGGTTGTCTTGAAAACAGGCCCAAAATGGCCTGTGCTAAAACCCTTGTCTGGTGCCTAAGTTTCAGGGCAGGTCGACTTCATGAGGGCCTGAAAATGGCCCTCATTTTCAGGCTTTTAGGCTGAGACAACACAGGGCCTGTAGGCCCTTGTTTTCAGGCTTTTAGGCTGAAACGACACAGGGCCTGCAGGCCCTTGTTTTCAGGCTTTTAGGCTGAGACGACACTGGTCGGGCCCTGCAGGCCCGTGTGGCTGCGCAGTATGCCACACTTGCTGATTCTCTCTCATCCTACGACCTTCCCTTTCCTCCAAGGACTTCCTCTCCTTTCGCCATATCTCCCTCTCTCTCTTCGGGCGCCCATCTATGGCTTGTCCTGCCTCCTCTCTTGGTCTCTGGGGGCGGATACAGCGAGCACTGCTTCCCTGCGGCCGCCATCTCTCCCTCTCTCTCTCTCCAGGCGCCCATCTATGGCTTGTCCTGCCTCCTCTCCCGGTCTCTGGGGGCCGATACAGCTAGCACTGCTTCCCTGCGGCCTGGCAGCTTCTGCCAAATGGGAATGTGCAGCCGATTGCCCAGCTCCTCCATATGCAGCGAGGCCAAGGTCCCTGCTTGCCTCCGCTGGAAGGCTCTGGACAGCTGGTCCTGTACAGATATCCCAACTGGTCCAGTAGCGATCCCGACCAGGCCATGGCGTCCACAGCCTGGTCAAGTTGACCCAATCTGGGGGCTATGGGGTGACATTCAACTCAGGGGCTGCTGGCCCTGACTGCTGAGCTTCTTGGGCCTGGCAGTATGTACTGTTTGACGATGGTTTAGGGTTTAGGGCTTAGGTAGTAGTAGTACTAGTAGTAGTACTAGTAGTAGTAGTAGTACTAGTAGTAGTAGTGGTAGTTAGTATACAGATAGTAGTAGTGGTAGTTAGTATACAGATAGTAGTAGTGGTAGTTAGTATACATAATCGGTGAAACTCCGACGAAACAGTTTGTCACAGCCCCTCGTTTATTGTCCTCTTCTCCCTCTCTGCCTACGGTTTACCGGGCAGCTCTGTTTGACAATATATATCGTCCGCTTTCATTTTCATCACAGGTACCTTGAGGGCAGTGGTTGGTGCCCACCTCAAGGTATCAGTTGTTGGGCAGATGTTGATGCTTAACCACAACCGGAAGGTGGATTATCACTTACAGTGTAATCAGTTAGGGGACTCGGCAGACTGCTGAGGGTTCAGCCTCCTGATGAGTCGGTGAAACTCCGACGAAACAGTTTGTCACAGCCCCTCGCTTGTAGGCCTCTTGCTCAGCGTACTGTTTACCGGGCAGCTTTGTTTGACGATAATACACGATATATCTAAAAAGAAAATAGCATTTTCCCAGGCTATGGAATCTACGCTCTAATTATCTATATGGTGTATAATGTATAGCATGTACGATATACTGATTTAATAAACAATCAGTAGCATGTGGACAGATGTCATTCTCATGAAAAACGACCACCATGTTGCACACAATAATGTTTACGTTCTTGCTCACTAGAAAGATCTGCCGGAAAGCTCTTTTTTTTTTTTTTTTTTTTTTTTCCTAAGTGGAAGTCGACAGAACATCAGACCAAGCTGGAACAGCTAATGTGACTTCTTTACCTCTTATCGAACACACTGCAGATGCATCTGCTTGTAGTCAGATCAAGGTGGAAGGGGCTGGCTATGCAGGACTATCTTTAGTCCAGTGCCTGCGCAGTGTCAGTGACGGAAGGCTGCTGAAGTGGGACCTGGCCTGGAGTACCATGTGATCTGATCATTCGCAAGTGTCTTTTCCTCATGAACGCAGCAACAGGGGACTCAGGAATTTCACAACACACAAAGTGAGTGTCATTTGTGTAAACATGTAAATTGAGTTGTCCCTAAAGGGCCTCGCTTCGGTAAAGCAGAAGCAGCTCAGCAAACGAAGAAGGTTGGCCAAGAGAGGTTAAGGATTCAGCAAACAAAAGAACTTGAAAAGAGGTTGGCAAAAAAAAAAGAGGTGAAAATTTCAGCAAACAAAAAAGAGTTCTCCAAAAGAGGTGAAAAGTTCAGCAAGCGAAAAAGGTTCGCCGAAAGAGGTGAAAAGACTGAAAAGGTTAACTGTCGTACCTCATGCAGCGCAAGATCTCAGGCAGGGTAGGTAGGAAAAAAGACGCCTTTGTCACGCGGCAAATCAACCAAAAAAGGGCGTTGGAATTCTAAAGTTGTTTTGTTCGCCGCTGAGAAAAAAAAGTTTTGTGATGGGACTCGACTCCAATGATAGGTGAGTCCATTTTGCACTTGGTTGACCTTCTGTGGCCTTTCTGCAGGTACCCAAAATTTCAGGGAATTGCAAATATCACCCTCCATTTCTCTGGAAATTTCGGGGGAGATGTCACACGTATTCACTATATTGGTTTTCGTGGAGAGTCGACTCAGGTCAGCAATCCATGTTCCTGCTATCGGCACCTTGGGAGTTTTTCTCCTCCTTGGGCACTCTCTCCTCTCTCTCCTCTCTCTCCCCTCTTTCCCCTCTCCCCTTTCTCCCCTCTCTCCCCTCTCTCCCCTCTCTCTCCCCTCTCCCTCCCCTC